TTTACTGATTTTATCGTGTCAAGTATTGCAGACAAAATAAGTTGAAAATCTAAATATCTCAGTAACTCTTAAAATTATTTCTTATTGAATTATCTTATATCCATATCTGTTGCACGGGTTGGTGCCTGCCTTTGTGACCGCTGTTGCCTATATTTTATCATGTACTCCAAGACATATCATCATAGGTTAATGAGATTACTAGAGAACCCGTGCGGCTCAATGAGCCGCATAGTATAAATATAATGCCGAGGAAAACGTTATGCTTAAATTCGAGTAATTCTAGTTACAACTTAGAGTTGTTTAAACACTTGTTTGAAACTAATTTTATTTTAAATATCTGTATTCGTATCGTCAAGGTTCGCCTACATTAATTCTGCTCTCAGTTTTAACTGATAACTAACTTCTAATTAATCCTAAACGATCTGCTTCAATTCGAGTTAACATGATGCTACAAAGTTTTTCCAGCATTGAGAATTGAAGAAAACTGTTGCCTTACTGATAACCTTTGTTAAGTAATTTAAGTTGGCTCATTTACATAAATACTAATTCCTTCACTTATGTTTGGTCTAATATTGCCACTAAAACTTTCAATAGCAAATGAGTTTTTGAAACTTCTTATTTTCGACTTGAAATGTCTGGATTGTGTTGGTGAATTCAGTCAAAAAACTTTGTATAGTTTGTCCGAGGAACTGGCAATATAACCTAGAAGTAAACAATCCATTTGCGTTTTTCTCAATTGAAGTAGAGGAGGAATACAAAAGTTAACAATAAAAACATAAGGTCCGCCAAGAGTTGGTATAATCTTACTACCGGTACTTGAACTTATCATAGTCAAGGCATTATTAATAAATGTCAAACTTGTTGACTTTGTTAACGGTTTATTTAATCTCTTGGCTTTAATTTTAGTTTCAAACATTAATTGTTTGGTATCGTTGGAAAGGGCATAAAATTATCTACAACTTTTGTAATGGGTAGTTATTTCATTCTATAAGCGTTTAACAAGTTATGAGGAAACATTAAAAAACAATGACATTAAAAACCACGTTTTTTAATATTGTGAGATAAATATTAAGTTGACAACAAAAGTGTAAATACAAAAAACATTTCCTGTAAAATTATCTTTCAAACAAAAAAAGAATCACCCCGATCCGTTAAACGGTATGCGAAATATACGCATTTAAAAATTGCCCAAGCCGCCATTTTGATGACGTCATAGCTCGAAAACGAAACAGGCGCGGACTTGACACCCGAGTGGAAAACACTTCCTAAGACACCTATATTGAAATGCAAAAGCAAAATTCTCTATACACGACATGCACACAGAACCCTAGTCATGTCCAGGACTAAATCTTTCCCGGACCGTACACCACTTTCAGTGTTTTTTTACGGTTTATTCAATCTCTTTGCTTTATTTTTAGGTCCAATCACATATTGTTTGGTATCATTGGAAAGGGTATAGAATTATCTGAAACTTTTGCCACTGGTGGTATTTGATTTTATCAGCGGTTAAGAAATTATAAGCAAAACAATAAATATAATAACAATAAAAACGACGTTTTTAAATATTGTGCGGTGAATATTAAGTTTACAACAAATGTGTAAATACAAAAAAGATAGTTTGTAAAAATATCTTTCAAACAAAAAAAGAATCATACCGATCCGTTAAACGGTTTGCGAAATATACGCATTTAAAAATTGCCGAGCCGCCATCTTTATGACGTCATAGCTCGAAAATGTACCAGGTGCGAACTTGACACCCGAGTGGAAAACACTTCCTAAGACACCTATATTGAAATGCAAAAGCAAAATTCTCTATACACGACATGCACACAGAACCCTAGTCAGGTCCTGGACTACTAATGAATATTACAAATATAAATATTTGTTTCCAAAAAGCTAATAAGTTTCTTTTTATAAACAGCTGTTTTTTGATTTAAATTTGTTCTATGTATTTCTCATGGGGAAAACCCGACCTTTGAGAGGGCCTCACGCCCTTAAGAGTAGGAATTTTAAAATTCTAAAACCTTATTGCAAAACTACATATTGAGACGAACCTTTTGACACCTTAAACGTTGAAATTGGTCCACAAATAAGGGAGGAGTTGTGTTAACAAAAAACGGCTTCACGTATTATATATATAGATTGTCAAATTGTCATACATGTTTTCAATAATTTAACATACTTTCAATTGTGTAATATAATACAAAATGATACAAAGAAGAAGGGCACGTTGCCAATACGAGCAGTGTCAATATTTTACTAAATTAATAGATAGTTTACAGCAACTGGATTAAATTTGTTATTAATACTTTAATACTTTTCTGGATTAAATCTATATAATTAATACGCTACATGAAAATTTGTCGGTTGAACTCCTCCGCCATTTCTTAACCGATTTTATCCATTGACGTCTCATTGGAAAGAGCGTGTCACGTAGATTTGCAAACTGGCCTTACATTTTTGAAAATAAGTCTCTTGGGCTCTGCCCCAGTGGCTTTGAAAGTTCCCATGTTATCCTTATGAAGAACATAATTGTTTACATTTTGATCAGCTGTATAATTGCTGTCAATTGCTGTTATTTATTTTTCAATCCAATGAAATGCATTGAGAACATTTATTTACTATTTGAGTTTGTGTAAACATAACCCCCAAGACGGATCGTGTTAGTATGGTTGTATCTAAAATTGGTGTATTTATCGTTGTTTTGTGTACCTATAATTTGTTTATTTGTTGTTTTTTTTTTCTTATATATGCCTCCGACGTGACGAAAACGAAACATGGACAGGAGGCGTAATCGTGATAACGACCGTAGCTACAGAACAGTGGCGCGTAATAGGCTTAACTCATCACAGTCAGCACCTGACCCTGGACAATCTCAACTATTAGGTTAAAAATGCGCCCTAACACTACTTTTCGTTCTTAATTGGCCCTCTATCAATGACCTGTGTTGCCTGTACAGCGAGGCATTTAGAGAAGGAGAAAACCGGCCGGAATGCTTTAGGTTTATCAATAACGAAGATAAACATGGTCTGAGTTACACACCGGTAATCTTTGTGTTGACTCTTTTAAACTCATTGTAAATATGACTGTTATTCGTTTTGAAATAACTCCTGTAATACTTTGCAATTGCTCGAATTCGAGCAACATGTTTGAACTAAACAGCAACAAAAAACTGTGATACGCAATGAGAAATGTTTACAGTTATGTTTTTTTTTTTTTATGTCATGAATAATTTGTGACTTTTTGTGAATTTGTAATAATTTATTTTCCTTTATTGTTCAGGTGAAGTGGTAGAGCATTATGGCTATGGTAGATGAGTAATACCATAGTATACCGTCAAATCAAAGAAGAAAATTGTATCAAACTTTGTCCTCCCCCGTTGCAAACACAATGCTTGAGTATAACTGCAATAATAATTTTAAACTTATATGCCAACCCCGTAAGAAGGATTTGCTCAAAGTAATGATTTTTCAGAACCGACAGCATTGCTTTGGATTCTGCGAATAGCCATCATCAAAACATCAGACTGAATAACTGGTTTGAAATGTTATATTATCTCCATGGTTATATTCTCCATTATTATGGAGAATATTGTAAAATGTTGTAGTTTGCTTTTTTATGGATATATTTCGATCAAACTTGGCGGACTTATTTATTTCATACTAAGCTATTAATATTTTAATAAAAACACACTGTATTAGTTTCTCTGTAACAGCTAACCTAGGTACTCGTTAAACATAAATGTTAATTTAATAGATTAATTGAAAATCAATCCAGGCAAATAGAAATTTGCTTAGTCGGCAGGTGTAGCGTAATCAAAAGATTATTGTAGAAATAATAAAGTGGACTGTATATGGGTTATTAATTTAATTTTTACAACAGAAAATAATTATGGACTTTTGGTTGAATTTTTAACACTGAACTATAATTATGTTACCACTTTGACGTTATTAAGGTCTTGAAAGAAGATCTGGTCGAATGTTGTCTCTAGTCGAGAAGATATGAAACATATCATGATGTCCAAATGTTCTCACAGTACACAGAATTTAGAGTCAAATTAAAAAGGGTTTATTTAATGCACACAAAAGGAAAAGGTAAATGAAACAAGTCAAATTAAAGGAGAGAGAAATTAATGATGTTACACAAAGAAACGATATTACGAGAAAAATTGCACTTTTTGAACCAGAATGTTTACATTTTCAAATTTTTATTATTGTATTGTTGTTGACATGTGGGGATTATTTTAATATGCTCTCTCTCTCTCACACACATGTTATCAGCTGGCCTTTTAAATACTGAACAGCAGGTTTGCTGCAGCTGGGCATTTACCGTCTCGTGAGTAACAGGATAAGCGTAAACATATATTACACCAGTGGTACGCGTACCACCAATTGGGAACCGCTGCCTTAGGGAGTAAAAATCAGCTGTTGTGAACTCAGTTGTAAATTTAGATTGTAAACAATCGCATGTATCATAAGTATGTATTGATTGTTGGTTATTGTTGCCTTATTGTAAATAGTTTGACATATTGATAGTATAATGTAGCCTACACTAACACAATCTTAATAGATGAAACGATTGAATCGGTTACCAAACAACTGCTTGTTTCCATTAGCAAATTAATTTGAAAACCAGTTAGAAGTAGTTTTGGGAGGTTACTTTAAATGAAAACTATTTAGCTTTGTAACATAGTTTGTTTAAATGATGGTGCAACACTAGGCCTACGAAAAATATGGTACATCACACGGGCAAAAAGGGTCTTTTCAACCCTCGCTCATTTTCTGACCTCGGGTCGAAAAGCGTTACTTTAGGCCCTAGTTATGAAATATACTATTTATTTATTATGGGATGTTTTTAAATTTTAGTCACTAACAAGACTACAAGATCGCACCACTCATCCTTCACTCATATTTGGGTTAAAATATGCATAGTGGCGTCCCCATATTAAATAATTGATAATAATACCTCAAATAACATTCTTTTTACTTTTGTTCTTGCAGGGAAAGCCATATCCTATCCTGGAAGCAGATCTAGGGTTTGATACCGGTGATTATGTGATGAACCAGGCTGCCAAGGTACTGCGGCTACTCTACATCCATGATCTACGTTCACTACAGACTGAGATCAATGAATGCATTGTTGCTGTACAGAATCTCACTGCTAACCCCAAGACAGACACCAAACTTGGAAAAGTTGGTTTCTAGAACAGTTCAGTACAGATTTTTTTTCTTCATATTTATTTGTAAATAAATAATAATTCAATCAAAATTAGTCCTTAGTATTTTTTACATTCTCACCCTATAGCCTACATCTTCCTGTTGCGAAGCACGGGTACAGAAGCTAGTGCAACTAAAAAGTTGATCTGTTTTATCAGGTCTATACCTAAGTTACACTTCTATATAGGCCTACAGTAGGCCTACCTTATTTTTATCAACTTTAATAGCTCTATTTAAATCAATAATTAAAAGTCAGAATGAAGTAAAAATAAAAAGGCTATCATTAAATTTTTTTATTATTTATTTGCAAAAGTTTACATCAATGTATAATGCATAGCATATATTTATGTTATACCTTACATGTGGTTAATGTAGAGAATCAAATGGAGGAAGATCAAGAAGTCTGGCCCCACCAAGGCCTATAGTACCTGAAAATGTTGATTGGAATCAGTAAATGCTCCTCAAACAACATTGAGAGACTGGGGGGAGGTAAACTGCTCCCCTTGGCTGGTGCGCCAGTGAGGCCATGGTACAAAATGTTTACTTAGACTGTACTCTTTCTTACCTGACCTAATCCCGACGTGCTTAGAGAAATCAAAGAATGAATCACTACTGAAGCATTTATGTATGGTGCAAGTCATGTGTCCTCGGAACCGAGGCCAGTCCGGATAACAATTTTTCCGGTTAAACTTATGTCCCTAAAAACTCGTTAAAACAGAACGTTTACTGTGATATTCTAAGTTACTTAAATTTAGGAGAGCATTGTATTTAGACACGTGATCACTGGTCTCAAATCTTTCCCACGAGAACAGTTATTTTAGTACCACACACTTCCTGACGATCTAGTCCGGTTAACCCTCCGAGTTTTATGTGTCGTAAAATCGACACATAACACACTTTGTGTAGTGTTTTGTGTCGATTTTTCGACTCACAAACACTGTTTACGGCGAAGGCTCTATGACTGACAAAATCGGATTGAACTGGATCGAGTTAGGTATCGTTTTATTTGGCATATTCTAAGCTTTCTCCCGAGGTCTGTCTCTAAGCGCTTTTTTTTTTCTCGAGCCGATCATAATTGTAGCAGACAGCTGACGTGCGTATTTGTAAACAGCTTGGTTAACCTCGCACCGATGACTGATGTGTTTTATTACGTTTGTCATTGTTATAGTGTTATAAATCAAAAGTAGTGATATACGTGGTGCATTATAAGAAGATTTAAGTGATTTTGAAGGGCTGGTTGATGATCCTGAAGAAGTAGGTAGTGATATTGATGTAAATTATCAGCCAGATTCCTAGCTATGGTTAGGCTATGCATTCTTAGCTAAACGCTATGTACCGAAATCTGTTTTTTGCCCATAACTTATTTATTTGCAAATCTACTTCCTTATATTATTATATTTTTGGAATCCTCATAAAATTCTGAACAAATTGGCTATTTTAAAATATTTTTAGACCTATAAATTGTAACAATTTATTGAGCGCAAACATAAATTTTTTTTGTTTATTTTATAATTTTTGAAAAATGTTAACCCCACAAAAATTGTTGAACATTTTTTTTTGTAATGTTTTATATGTTACCTACATTGAAGCCCATAATTTTCCAAACAAAATGATATATAAAACAGTATACTTTACATCGTTTTTAAGTTTCTAAGATACAGTTTAATAAAACCCTGTGATTTTGCAATAAATGGGCGAACATTAAGACCAAAACTAGAGACACTTGGAGGGTTAAACCAATGTGCTGATAAAAACTTTCCTGTTAAAGAGATGTCATTTCCGCCGAGTGTAGTCCGGTTAAAAGGTGTCCGGATTAGAGGGAGTCTACTGTATGTAAGTTGCTGTTGTCAGGTCAAAGCCGCTGATAAGCCTACAAGCCAAACAATCTCTTTGCCGGTTTATAACAACTGAATTCTGTTCCATAAGTTATTGTGGCCCGGATCCAGGTCCTACCTTGAGACTTAAGTGTAAAATAAGTAGCTTATTCCCTAAGGTGGGTAGGGGAAATCCACTCAATAGGCCAACCTAAAAAGGCAGAGAAAATAAAATAAAGGAAAATGCAGATGTCCGTTGAGGAACTTACCAATAGCAACAGAGAGTATGAGAGACCGACCATAACCTTTTTTCATGTTAAATGTTTGTTTAGCAACATAAGCACCAGCACCTGTCAGGCCAAATCCGCTGATAAGCCTACAAGCCAAACAATCTCTTGGCCGGTTTGTGACAACTGATTTCTGTTCTATCATTTTTAATCCCAACAAAGATAAAGGATGGCTAACCACAATTTCACAATAATGAACTGTCAGTCATCAGTGAGTGACGATTATTAATTTACGTCTTTCTTTATTTCCTAATTGAATGATAAATAATTCTCTGATAAGTCGATAAGTGAGGTTATGTTATGGTATTGGCAATTCATTTTGTTTGTTCTTCTGTCTGGGATTGTTTTTTACTCTTTTCTGTCAGTGTTGCCAACGAAAACAGTCTTTAGATTGATTTTGAGCTTGAGCTGATAAGAACGCCTCCGATGGTGAGGACTGACTCACGGCCGCCTTTAACTCCAGGCCGCGGTCTTCGACGTGGCAACGTCGCAAGTGGTGTTGTAACTTGTAACAGCTGTTTTGTTTGGAAGCAGCTAATGGTATTTGTGTATTTACGAAAGATTGGTTACTGGACTATGACTATTGACTCCGCTTAAAATGTACAGATCTAGATTTTTAATTCATATTGTTTCGCTTTTCAATTACGTATGTTTTATTTTCAATATTTTAATAAATTTATGTTCATAAATTTAAATTGAAACCAATAATGTGCGAATTAATGAGCTGATGTCACCTGTCTGCCATGTTATCTTATGGGACGTCTGTCACTAAACAACACCACTTGCGATGTTGCCAATTCTACCAGGCCATGGCCTGTAGTTAAAGGTGGCCGTGACTGACTTCATGGACAACGTCCGCGAGCTCCGCAAGTGTATCGATCCCGATCGAGGTCTGCAGCCTTTTGTGTTACCAAGATGGCTTGTGATGCTGAAGGAAGACGGCTAAGCCACTGAAACCTCAGTAGTGGATCAGGTACCATGGTTCCAGCTAGAGTAGAGTACGCATGTGCCTCAGGAACTGTGATGGTATCCGATCAACTAACTCTTCTCGTTCCAAAAGTTGTTTCGTCTTCCGTTCCTGGGTCAAGGTAAACCGTTTTATAAGTTATTTTTTTTAAATTAATGTACTTTTCTTCTGCTGGAGGGTTGGTGAGGATATTCCTCACTTCTGCTGCGTATTTCGCATCTAGGTTACCACAGACGTAATAGAACTTAAAAACTTTTGTTAAATACAAATTAATTTACAGGAAAGTACCAGAATAAGGCAATACACCAGCTACACATCCGACCTGTATCGTGCACATTATTGGAACGGTCCAAATGTCAGTCACATTGGGCGAGGGCCGAGGACAGTCGGCAGCGTTCTAAGATACGCTCGTGTAGTCAATGCTCTTGCGTTCAATCCGCTGCCCGCTGCTAATTAATTGTCGGCTTCGTGTAGTCCTAGACATTTTTGATCGTACTATCGGCGTTTTCATACGCTCGTGTAGTCCAGCTTTCATGGAACGTCTGGCTTTAGAGTTCTTGGAGGCTAGCAGCCATCTTGGATAATTTTAAACAGTTGCTTAAGAGTTAATTATCGCCCAACAATATTTTTTTAAACACTTAAGTGATTATAATTTAAATATCTAATAAACTATTGGATTAGAAATTGCCTCTATAGTTTTGAATTGTTTTCCAAGGGAGTCGATGGAAACCAACGGCCATCTTGGATTTGCCCACCATTAGAGCAATGATGTTAGTTTCGTTAATCAGCCGCTAAAGAGTGATTTACCATCTTAAATTTTTTTTTTTTTTTCAAAAACCAAAGTGATTGTAAGTAATTTAAATAGGTATCTAGTATACTAACTGTGGGATTAGAAATTCGCATTGTAGTATTTTTATTGTTTTATGAGTTAAAATGTATAGGTTCCAAGGACTCTTAAATAGCACTACTTGCGACGTTGTCAATTCTACCAGGCCGCGTTCTTCTGGGGCCCTATTTTTTTAAATATGTAGTAGACTGTTGACTCGATCCTTTCCAATAGTTTCGTATTTTTCAAGCGATTGACAGTTGACTTATCCAACTAAAACTACTCCACCTGTTGAGCTGCTGAGTGAACGGTTGAGTCAATGCCCTACTAGAAAAACAAAAAAGTTTTCCCAGTGGGGCTTTGGTCACGGCAGCCTTTAACTCCAGGCCGCGGCCTTCGAAGTGGCAACGTCGCAAGTGGTGTTGTAACAGCTGTTCTGTTTGGAAGCAGCTAATGGTAATGGTATTTGTGTATTTTCGAAAGATTCGTTACTGGCATCGATCTCTATTAATAATAGAGTTCGATAGTTACTGGACTATGACAATATTGACTCCGCTTAAAATGTACGGATACAGATTTTTAATTCATATTGTTTCGGTTTTCAATTCTGTATGTTTTATTTTCAATATTTTAATAAATTTATGTTAATTAAATTTAAATTTATATCAATAAAGTGCAAATTAATGAGCTGATGTCACCTGTCTGCCATTTTATCTTATGGGACGTCTGTCACTAAACAACACCACTTGCGACTTTGCCAATTCTACTAGGCCGAGGCCCATGGTGTAAGGAAAAAACATAGGTGTGCTATTCCCACATATTCTGACGTCACTCGGATTGCAAACAAAAGATCACATGATTGTAACTGTCAAATTAGTATTATTATTATAAAAACAATAACAATCAAATCAAAACAAATACATACTAATTTGACGGTTACAATCATGTGATCTAGCACACCTATGTTTTTTCCTATGTCGGCCACCATGGCCGCGAGGCCTGTAGTTAGAGCGGCCGTGCCTTGGTTGAGTGCATTTTCTTCTTCGTCTCTCGGCAAAAAGTGATCTATTCGAGTTTACGCCATATTGATTGTCTTGTTTATAAACTGTGATTAGAGGTTATGTGTATTTGTTGTCATGTCACCCAATAATTTATTCTATTGTTTTTCTGTACCTATAATAAATTGTATTTACTGTGCCAAAACTAGACTATCCAGGGTTGTATTCATGTTGGGGTGTTTCAAATAGACTTTTTTTAATAGAGGGCCAGGCTGTAAGTACCATGGGATTGCAGCGAAGCTAGAACAGCTTATTTTGCACCCTCATTCTCAGGTCCTCATTCTTTCTCCACATTTCCTACATAAGAGGCTTTCAACTTGAATTCCCATCTTGTGTAAATGTCCACGGAATACCCAATGGCCGCTAATAAAGCCAACCACCTTCCGCAGGGTCTTCCTACTCAGCCCAAGGGCATCTGCCGCTATCGCACCTGTAGGTGCCTTCAGCATTTATAGCTGAAGTTTTATAGCTGAATCTAATTTAGTTATACTCAACAAGGGATCCAAACCAACCTTTAGACAGATGAGAGGGGTGGTACTAAGGGAAGAGGTTTTGGACATAGCCTTGGCCAGTAGTTATGCGGTGACAATTAAAGGTAAAATGGGGGGTATCTGATGATCACTCAGCGTCAGATCACAGTTACATTGAATTCACTATAGATTCGATCTGTACAAAAGAGACCTATAGGAACGTGAGAAGGATAGACTAGAACCAGTATCGAGAGGTGCTAGGAGACAGACTAAGACAATTAAAAGACACAGAAGGGCATGGGGTGGAGAGTATGGCGAATTCTCTAAATGCGGCCATACTAAGCTCATACCAAGAAGCGTGCCCGGAGACTGTAAAGAACATGTCCAGGCAAGCCTGTTGGTGGAATAGTGGGTTAGAAGCTCTGAGGAGGAAGGTTCGCAGACTGTATAATGTAGCAAAGCGTACAGGAAATTGGAACAACTACTTAAAGATGCTCACTGTTTACAATAGGACAATTAGAAGAGCTAAGAAAGAGTCATAGAGAGAATTCTGTCAGAACATGGAGAGTGTTTCTGAATGTGCAAAGCTTCAAAGAGTACTAACTCGAGGTCAGTCTAATCCTTTAGAAACAATGCTTAAGGCGGATGGCACATATACAGACGGCCCAGAAGAAGTGCTGGAGAGCCTTTTGAGCGCTCACTTCCCAGGATCCTTGCAACCGCAAAGCATAGTCCAGGAGGAGATAGAAAGAGAGGCTAGGGTGCGGACGGCAAGGGAAGATTGGGCTTGCGCTAGGGCTGTGATTACCTTTAACGGTATTAAATGGGCTCTTAGGGCATTTCAACCATTTAAAGCTCCTGGTACCGATGGCATCTATCCTGGGTTTTTGTAGGAAGGTGGGGACCAGTTGATACTCCAGTTGGTGCGTCTTTTCAGGACCAGCTTAGCCAGTGGAGTTAAACAAGACTACAAGATCGCGCCACTCATCCTACACTCATCTCCATTCATACTTGGCTTAAAATACCTACTTTGTATGGTCGCCATTTCATAGAACAGTATTAACAGTACAGTATTAACAGTATTACCAGTAGCATGGAGGGCCTCAAGGGTGGTATTCATTCCGTAGCCTGGAAGGGACACATATGCTGTGTCCAAGGCTTTCAGACCAATCAGCCTTACATAGTTTCTCCTGAAGACCATGGAGAAATTAGTGGATAGACGAATAAAGGATAGGGTCCTGGTAAGCCGTCCTTTGCATCCGAACCAACATGCCTTTCAGAAAAGGAAAGTCATGCGAAACAGCCCTGCATGTGCTGGTTAGCAAGATTGAAAGTGCTATCTCGAATAAGGAAATAGCGGTGGCTGCATTTCTTGATATAGAAGGAGCTTTTGACAACACTAGTACTCGCTCTATTGTGTCAAAGCTGGTGTCAAGAAATGTGGAAAGCACTGTAGTGAGGTGGATAGGCAACATGCTCGAAAGTAGGAGAGCGCAAGCTTCTCTGTGTGGGACGGTGAGAGGGGTCAAGGCCCAAAGAGGGTGCCCACAGGGTGGCGTCTTGTCACCAAATCTGTGAAACCTGGTGGTCGACGATCTCCTGTCCGAGCTCAATGCACAGGGCATGTACGCTCAAGGATATGCTGACGATATTGTTGTACTAATAAGAGGAAAATTTAGGAACACTTGCCTGGAACTTATGCAGAGGGCATTGTCCATAGTAGAGAGGTGGTGTAACCAGGAAGGTCTGAGGGTCAATCCAATGAAGACTGTAATGGTACCATTTAAAAGGAAGAGAAATGTTGATATCGCTAGAGTACCAACTCTCTTCGGTAATCAGATCCAGGTTAAGAGGGAGTTAAAGTACCTAGGAAAAATGCTGGACGACAAGCCCACCTGGAACAGCCATTTGGCACATATAACGCAACGCTCTCAGATCACACTTATGGTGATGAGACGGGTAGTTGGGAAGACCTGGGGTCTAAGCCCACAAATGACTAACTGGCTATACACTAGGGCTGCAAGACCGATGTTGGTGTATGGCTCAGTGGTCTGGTGGACCAAGGTAATGCAAACTACCGCTGTAAAGAGACTACAAAAGATCCAGCGAGTGGCATGCCTTAAC